GTTTGATTTCATGATACCAGCCTGCCTTTCATCGGAAGAGTTCTGCATGGCATAAATTTTTGTTTTAAGCAGAGCAAAACATTTGTTTTTGAAAACTGTGTGATAACTCCATGGATCACCAGGGTCACCTGAAAGACAGATGTTGAGATTGGTTTTATTGATACCAGGACTTGCAAAGTCAAATGCCCCCAAGGGCCAGGCAGGCTGGGTGGAGGCTGTGTCAAACTGGGTGTTTAAGTCCCATTTCAAAGGGCAGCTTGTAGCGGGCTCTGGCCTATTGCTGCCATAAGGAAATGCATGTGGTGGCAGAGATTGTGTACTATTTTCTGGTTCCTTTCACCTCCGTGGTCCATGGGAGGACTGAGCTTCCTTGCATCTTTAAGAATGACTATGGGACCTGCTTTGGCCAATGAAACATAAAGTGATGTATGTCACTCCAGGAGGAAGGATTTCACTGCTAGTACTCAGCCTCTCTACCTCTTTTTCTCTGCCATGGTGACCATGAAGGCACTTGGTGATATGAAGATATCAATACTGAGGCATCACCTATAAGACAGCTGCCCTGGAGAATCGCCTCAATTTACAGTTTTCTTGTGTGGCTGAGAAGTAGCCTTTCTTTTGTAAAGCCAATGAGTTTGGGGGCATGTTTGTTACTACAGCAAAACCTAGCTTATCCTATTACATACGCCCAATGTTGCCTGACTGATACTTTTAAAAGAAAGTTTGAAATCTAGATTTTTTTGTATGAAATCTTTGATATCTTAAAAAAAGGATTCTTTTCTACAATTATTTTTTGAGATGAGGGTCTTGCTATGTTGCCTGAGCTAGACTTGAACTCCTGGGCTCAAATGATCCTTCTGCTTCAGTCTTCTGAGTAGCTAGGACTACAGGTCAGCACCACCATGCCTGTCTTTTTTTAAAAAATGAATTTAAAGTGGAAGCCAGAAAAGCTGGATTTTCAGCCTGCCAGCTACTCGTTTGCAATGTTGATTTACACAATTTGAATAGAGAATGGAGGAGCAATCCTGTGTGAACTCTGACAGTGCTTCCAGCCTGTGTGACATCACTAGCTCTTAGATACTCTCGGTCTTGCTATTCATTAGTTTGCAAATTATTTTTCCTAATTAGACGGGAAGTAGGAACAGGTGAGATCATGTCTTAAACTTTGTGTACTTTGAAGGTGCACAATAGATTTTCAGTAAATACTAGGTTAAAGACTAGTTGATTGGCTGATTACATACTCAGAACTATCACTTTCTCCTTTGATTTTGGAGGAACAGGTGTGGGGAATTCATTATTTTACTTCACCATTTCACTTTTCCCCTCTTTGCAAAGAGCATGGGATTCATCAATGTCCATTAAACTTTAAAATGAAATAGTCCAAATAAGTTAGAGATGAAAACCTGATGTATTAATTAGGACTTTTCTAATTGCAGGAAATAGGAAACCCAAATTCAAACTGCCTTGGGTAAGACATAATTTACTGATTCCTATAGCTAAAACCTGCAGAGGTCAGGATGCTGTCAGGCGTGACTGAATTCAGGAACTCAGGCAATGTCATTGGAACTTGATCTGTCTTTCTCTCCATGGCTTGGCTCTACTCTTGTTCCCATTAGCTTCACTCTCTGTAGATCCCTTTCATGTGGTAGCTTCTGGCAGTTTCAGGTCCAGCTTCTGGCAGCTTCTCTTTCCAGCAGATGCACAACATTCCTAGTCTCATGAGATTCACCTGGGATACCTCACGATCTCTCGATCAGCCCATTGGCCAGGGCTGGGTGTTCATCAGGACTTTCCTAGTTGTGATAGGAAACTTAAATTCAAACTGCCTTAGGCTGAGTCACTTGTCTGTCCCTAAGAGCCAGGGGTAGATCAGCTCCATGCAGCCCCCAGTGTCTGCATAAAGGACCCAGTTTATGGTTTCTCCCTCTAGCCACTCCTGGAGGCAGTGATTAAGTATAGGGGCTTAGTAGGGAGTATGTGGCTGGAAGGGAGGCCTTGAGTCTGTGGTCTTACAGCATCCTGTATGAAATTGAAAAACATCCATATCATACCAACAACAGAGAAGACCCACTGACTATTATAGGAGGTAGAGGGGACTAAAGACCTCCCAAGTCACCCTTGGTGCCACCCCTGTAACATATTCAATTTGCGGGGGAAGCAAAGGCCCAGCAGGACTGACTGCTGGTGGCCCAGCCACGGTCCAAAACAGGCCCTAGGGAGGGCCTAACCACACACCCTAATTATTAGTCCCTGCACAGAGATCAGTTTAGTTTATCCAAAGCCCCAGCCGAAGACACATAAAGTAGCATCGCCTCTGTTCCATGTTTTGTCCCGTATAAATGTCCAGATGCAAGTCTTGTGGGAGAAACATGATGAGTCAGTTTCACAGTCCCTGGCTTTGATCTTTATGCTGTAGTAAAGGTGTCGCTGGCCTTTCTGGGGTGGAGAATGATGTGCTTTCACAGACTATCAAATTACTGCTCATTTTCCAATGTATATTCTCTCAGGTCCTTGCTTTCTTCTTACCTGCCCACACCAGTGTTGCCAGGGAGATTGCTGGTGAAGGTGAAAATGGTCAGGCAATGTCATTGGAACTTGGTCTGTCTCTCCTTCCATTAGCCCAGTTCTTTTATCCAGAAAGATTTCAGTGTACTGGGGAAATAAGGAGAATAAGATCTCATGCACTCACTCACATGGAAGAGACATGCATGCTTGAGTTTGCTCATTTGCACCCATCTGTCTCCAGTCTTGTTTCCTTCACTCTGAGCATCTGCACTCCAAGAAGGCATGAACTTTTTCTTTCACTTCCTTTCTTCTATGGGTGATGATCTGACATCACTCTGAGGCCGAAAGTCGCTGAGTATAAAAATCGTCACTCCTATCCGGTTTAGGCAGAAGGTAGGGGGCTCGATGGGTACCCAGGAGCACTGGAGGTAGGAGATGCCATCTAGGGAACCCCGTTCTACCTGAGGGCTCTGTGTCGCTGCCTTTGTATACTGGAAGGCACCATGGATGTCACTTTTCCTCTGGAGTCTCCACCATTTCCTCTCTAGGATGATGGAAGGTGGGAGTGGGGTTGGCTATGGAAGTTGTAACGGGGAAGAAGGTCACCGGGGGTCTACTGAGGGCTGGGTCTGCTCACTGCTGTGTCCAGAGGGCACAGGAGAAGCCTGCTGGAGCAGGGCAGAAGGGTCCAACTGTGCCAAGGGTCTAACTGTGCCAGCAGCAGAGCAAGCCGCGGTCTTAGGCTGCAGCCCTAGCGGAGGGCAGGCTGGTGCGGCGAGCCGCCTGGGGGCCTAAGGGCGCTGGCGGGGGCCGGCGGGTAGGAGTAGGGGTCCCCAAATGCCTTCATTTCAGCCCATCCTTCTCCACCGAAACATAAAGCAGGTTGACGAGATCGCCTCCTTGCCCGCTCAGTCCTGAAGTGTCCAAGGATGAAATTATGCCGAAATTCTCCCTGTCTCTCTGCTTGCGGGGAAGCGCCGGGACTGAGGAACAGGGTCCACAAAGGCTGTGCGTGAAGGGGCTTCTGACTTGTCCCCCGGCCCCGGCGTCGCTTCTCTCTCCCAGGGCTGCGGCTGCTGCCTGGCGGGCACAAGCCGGGCGGCAGTGCGCGGGGGGTGCGCTTACATAATCGCTCGCCGCGTCCTGCTTTCTAGCGCGCTCCTGCACCGTGGGGTGGCGGAGCCGGGGGACTGGATGAACCCGGGCCGCCCCCGCGGGGAGAGGAGCGCGAGCGGCCGCGGGAGGAGGGCGCCCGAGGCGGCGGGGGAGGTTAAGGTCAGTGGGTGTGAAGCGCCGGCTCCACACCCCCTCCTCCCCGGTCCCCTCCTTCCCTTCCTCTCCGTCCCCCTCTGACGTCTGGAGCTGGCAGCTCGGCCGGTTCCGCATTCCCGACCCCTCCCCGCCGCCCAGGGGCCGCTATATAGCCGGGGCTGATGCAACCCGTCCCGCCGCCCGCCACAGCCTGCGGGAGGGACGCTCGGCGGCCGCGACGGGGGGCGCTGGCGGCGGGGCTGGCGCCGCGGCGGCTCCCGGGCCGGGACGGGCCTGGGCACCGGGCGGAGCTCCGCGGCCGGGCGGCAGCGGCGCGGAGCGGGCACGGCGCCTGCAGCCGGGCCCCGGCCCCGGGGGCGCCGCCTCCGCCAGCAGCTTCTGCACGGTGGGTGCGAGGGCGCGCGCTGGGGGCGCCGGGCGGGGCGGGGCGGAGCGGGGCGCGGCGCGGGCACCTGGGACGGCCGCCCCCGCGCGGGCGGAGCGCGAGGAGCCCCAGCCCAGCCCAGTCCCGCCGGGAGGCTCCCGCAGCCCTGGGATCCCGAGCTTTCCCCGCGCGGGGCGCTGCAGCCGGGCCCCTCCCGCGAGGCGCCTGGTAGCCTGAGGCTTCCTTTTGGTTCCCGCCCCGGGACGGGAGGCTCCGTCCGCTCCCTGGGCAGCCGGGCGCTCCCTCCTTCTCCCTCCCGCGCTCTCCTCCCCCGTCCGTTTGCAAGGAGGTGCTCTCCTCGGGCGGCGGGGAAGGCGGGGTGAGTGGGGAGAAAACTGCCCGCGGAGACGGGCCGTGCGGGTGGAGATGGAGGGTGTAGGGCCAGGGAGGTGCGGGGTTGGCGTGGGAGTTCGATTGTGGAGGGATGACAAGGACCTGCTGGCAGGGAGGAAGCGCGACTCCCGGAGGACCCGCTCCCGCAGGCGGGTATTGAGAAGGGCTCGGGATTTCCATCCAATGAAGGCAGCTTCTTTCATGGCCATTGCTCTGGGGCTCTGGGCTGGGAAGGGATCTAAGGGTGACCGGGGTCCCCTTTGGGCTCTCCTGTCTCCCACGCCAGGTTATATAAGGAGGCAAGCAGGCTCCTGTAGGTAACAAGCCTCTCCCTTGCCCAGCCCAGCTTAGAAGGTTCTCTTCTGCTCCTCCCCTCAAAGGAGGTTGTCGAGAGGTAGGGGGGCAGTGGGGGCTGGGGGGGAGGTGTGGGGGTGGGTTTTCTACCTGGACCCCTGGACCCTGGGGTGGCAGGCCAGGCTTTGCCTGGGTCACTGGGAGGAGCAGGGAAGATGGGAGGTCCTGGCTCTTTTGCAGGGATGGAGAGGCTGGTGGAAGGAGAAATCAACCGACCCCTTAGGTCATCTCCAGTTGCAAGATTGCTTGGCCTTTGCCCAGGGTGCTGCCCTCCCTATTGGCATCCAGGGCATGGGGCTATGGCCTGACCACATGTGCTGAGGGCAAATGTGCTCAGGTCTGTATCTCAGAAAGGGCTCGCAGCCTGCTTAGGCGTGTGTATCCAGGCTTAAATCTTGGTGAACTCTCCCCAGGGTCTTAATTTGAGGAGCATCAGGAACTGGGAAGCTTTGAACCATGTTTGGGTACCTTTGTGTCCAAACGTCCTTTAAGTCCTTGCTAGGAACTGCATCCACGTATCATCTCCCTTCCCCCCAACCTCCTTTCCCTGAGGGTTTTTAAAAAACACTTCCCATTGCTTTTACCTTTCCAGCAAATCTAGCTGCAGCTTGGATGGATGGCTTATCTTCCTTTGCAGGTTTCTTGGGGAGCGTTTAACCAGGTATCAGGCGTGAGCGTGGCTCTGATTTTATATAAACCTGAGGATGGAGGAAGAGAAGCAAAATCTATTCTCATGCCTCTAGGTGGTTAAGGTTTTGCCTTGTTTAGAGCAGGGAGGATGGATTTCTCAAAGACTCTTCTGTTCCCTACTACTTTGGCTTTGGTTCAGAGCTGCAGGCAGCTCCAGAATCTTCCTGAAGAGCTGGGTGCTGTGTGATTTGAAGGGCTGCAGGAAGTCCTGCGTGTGTAGCCTTCAGGCTTTTCTTCTAGGTTGGCTGCAGCCACCTCCAAGGAGATGTGTTGCAAAGTGGTGACAATGTCCCCTAGGAAGGGTTTGGATAAGGGTCTTCCCACTCACCTACTGCCTAACTTCTGCAGGTACCAGGGAATGCTCCTCATGACTCCCTGGGTCTGTTGTCATCTCCCTACCTGTTTGCAGGGTGTATGGGCATCTTTTCCAACCTGCAGAATCGTTGGCAGGAATAGGCTCTCTGGGCCTCGTTTGTCGTGGGCTACTGGTGTTGCAATGGGCTGTCTCTCTCCAGTGTCTGTTTCCAGCTCCACTCTGGAAAGAAAGGGGCCAACGCCGACTCTAGGCCGGCCTGCTCTGTATTCATTCAGCCCCAGCTCCGCTTGAGCAATCAGAGCCAGGGTTGAGGGCAAGCTACATTCTTTTCAGCCTTTCTGCTGCAGGATGCAGTTTGCTTTTTTTCCATACGAATGAATTATGTTTGAAACCGAAATGGGAGGAAGAGAAAAATGGAGTGAGTGTGTATGGGTATGTGTGTGTGCATGCCTATATAGGCAGGGGGAGAGCAGCAGGCACATTATTTTTCCATTTTCCTTTAATTAAGGCTCTGTGGAGGTGTGTTTGAAAACAGAGGGTCTCCTATGCCTTTGAGGAGGGTGAGAACACTGTTTTGGCTGCGTCCTGGGCCATATGCAGCATATGGTGGCCAATGAAACCGGGCCTGGCTCGTTCTGTTGCTTGTCTTGGCAGTCGGTTCCGTGGCTTGTATTACCAGCTCTGGAACTTAGGGGCTGCCAAGCTCCATGTGCGTGTGTGTGTGTGCGCGCATTTATGTGCACACATGTTCGTGTGTGTGTGTGCGTGCGTGTGTGCGCGCGTGTGTGTGTGGTTTGGCCTCTCGGAACTCAGCAGAGACAAATGCCTTAGCGACCCAGTCTTGGAATTTTCAGCCTGTGTTTCTTTACTTCTTGCTGGCTGTGGGAGGCCTGGCCAGAGCCCACCATTCTTAGTTGTTGTTGTTTTTAAGTCCATTTTCTTGCTGTAGCCCACGGGATTTAGTTGGGGAGCTCCAATGGCAAAGCTTCAGCTGGCCAATGGCATTTTTTTTTAAAGACCAGGGCGGTTATCACAACTTATGTGTGTGTCTGTGTTAGGTGTTGTACTGTTAACCCCTGCCAGCCACCAAGGACCAGAGCTGGCGTGAAGCAGGAAGGGGAAATAGAAAGCTTGTCCAGTGGCTGAACGTTCCCAGCTGCTTCTTGCTGCCTGGGCTAAGGATCCCTGGCAGAGATAACTTCATGTGTATTTATTGAGCACCTACATTAGGCAGAGGACAAAGCTCTGTTTATAGGCAAGGCCTCAGAAGCATTTCTCTGGTCTGTAGGGAAGAGCAGGAGTTCCCTGGGGGATGGTTCCAGGTTCCTCTATGGCTGGGATGGCTGTGCAGGATCATGGCTACCCGGGTCCAGTGGCTTCTCCTGAACCCAGCTACCCCTCGTTGTCTTCTTCTGAAGCAGTGCAGGGATGGACAGATTGAAGGACACAGAAGATGCTGGCTCTCTGCCTGGGGGCAGGAATGGAAATCTAGCTCTTGATGGTACCTTGTTGCCAGGGTCTGTGCAGCCATGTTCTGGCCTGCAAGGTGAAGGAGACCTTAGAGGAAACTGAGGCCAAGGGCAGGTGCTGGGCCCCATTTCTGCACCTTTGTACCCAGCCCTGACCTGGCATACTTTGTTTCTATTCTTCAGTTAACTGTCAGGATGCAAGACGGCCCTGCCCCCTTGGGGTTTAGAGCTGGAAAGTGGGAGAGCAGAGAGTCCTCTGGGGAGAATCCTCTTCAAGGCTGCAGGAAAGAGAGACTAGTCCAGAAGGGACCTTGAGGGGTCATCTGGCGCTAGTGGCCCTCCAGGAAGGAAGGCCGTGGTGGCCACACTGACTTCACACTGACTACGTGCAGGCACTGCTCCAGGTACTTTCCAAGTATTAACTAATTTAATCCTCTTGACAGCCATACAGGGCAAATAACATTGTTATTCTTACTTTACAGCTGAGGAAAGGGAGGCACAGAGAGATTAGGGAAGTTGCCCAAGGGTACACAGCTAGGAAGGGGCAGAGCTAGGATTCACACTCAGATCATCTGGCTCCCGAACCACCACTCTTACCCCACCTTCCTCGTGGTCTACAGAGCTGGGACCATCTGAAGAGGGCCTTTTGCTGCTTGACTTCACTCTCAGTCTTGGGGCCTTCCCCATTGTCTTGCCTCTCGCCTTCTGGATCCCTCAACTTTTGGAAGCTGCTTGACCTACATCATTCAGATTCCAAGAGAGAGGTCATCCTGGGTGACTCCTTAGCTCCAAGAAGAGGCTTGGTGATTGATTCTCCAAGATTCATGGTAGCAGGTGCTATGCGCCATGATCACTGGCCTGTCACCTTTCTGCCCTTCTCTGTGGACTCCTGCCCTCTGCATCCTGTTCTCTCCTGGGAATGCAAGAGCCCACTTCTCTTGTTGAGCCTCAGTTGCCATTGCCCATGCCCTGCCCTCAACTTCCAGCCCCTCATTTCTCATGGGGCTTGCCCCTGTAAACTCCCCCTTTCCTTGACTTGTCACTCTCACCTCCACATTCTCTTGGCACCAAGCCTTGGCCCTTAGGCTGTCTGCACCCATGTGCGTACCCATTCCTATTCCCTATTCCCGATGGCAGCCCAAGCCAGCTGCTGGCCTGGAGAGGAGCTTACCTTCTTGAAGAGGCCCAGGGGTTTTATAGCCTCCTTTACAGTTTTGTTTCTACGGACAGGAAGTTCATGGTGCAGTTGCTAAGTTTCCCTTAACCTGTCTCTTTTTATTTACCTGTCTTTGCCATTCTGGATGAAAATGCTGATTATTGGGCACTTTCTAACAAGAATAGCCCTTACAAATTTGACGCATAAAACAAGACTGTTATTTGTTTATAGACACTCCGCTTAAAAAAGATTTAAGGTATTAGGTTGGTGCAAAAATAATCTCAGTTTTTGCCATTGAGCGGAATGGCAAAAATCACGGTTAGTTTTGCACCAACCTAATACCTTACAGATTTACAAACAAAAAATGAGAGAACCTTTAGCTTTTCTTTTGGCTGAAATGTCTCTTCATGTTAATATCTCCCGGGAGGGTCTATTTTCTAGACTTGAAATGTTTTATGGCTTTTCTTCTGCTTCTATAACGCAGTGCCCTAACTGTGTGCCCGCAGGCCACTACTGAGGAAGAGTAGAGAGTACAGCTACCAGACTCTTTTTTTTCTTTTTTTTTTTTTCCAAGTTCTTTCCTCTTGGATCCATCTGGTCCCCATTTTCTTCTAGCTGGCTTTCAGGGAGCTGCCTCATAATCTTAGGATCAGCAACTGCTTAGGGTTCACTGTGACCTTCTGAACCTCACCTGACTGATTCATGCCTTGCTAGTCAATCTGCCTCTTGGATTTGTGCTTCACCCAGCCTTCCTTCATTGGCTGGCTTCTAGCTTATTCCTGGTCAGTGTCCCGCATTGCCAAAGTCTTCTTGGATTGCAGGCCTGTATATTGAGGCACGAGCCCCATTTCCCAGTGTTGGTGTTCTGCTACCATATAGAGCTTGCTCCTTACTTATGCCCCCTAGTTACTCCTGGAGACACCGAGGGCGTTTATCTGCCTTTCAGACCTCCTGGGCCCTGAAGAGGAAAAAACTCTGGTTTGTTCTCCTGAAGCTTTTAGTGTATAGTTCTTCTTTTCCTACTAAATTGTTTCCGTATGGAACAACAAGTGTGGGAGATGATTTCACCTCTTGTCATCTTTCCTAGTCTTCCTTGAAGTGGGTAAGTTCCTTCTGGCTGTCACTTGTTCCTTGCTGCTGCCACCTCCACTGCCCCCTCCCCCCTTTTATAGATCCCTAAGTCACATCAAATTGTTTTATTTTTCAAATCACTAAAGTTGCCTTTCCGCCTTAGATCGTCAGCCAGCTCTTTGCAGTTAATGAGAATCCAATTATGAACGGCAGCTGCTCAGTTCCTCCATCTTCTGCTCCCCCAACCCCCAGAGATGTTTAGGATGACTTCTCGCTGGTGAATGTCAGCTGTTGTGGTTGTCTCCTAGGAATGGCATGGCTGAGGGCTTTGTGGTTTGTATCTGAGCAGTTAGGGACTCTTTTGCAGGGGGAGGAAAGAGAGGGGACCTTTGCCTCTACAAAGGAAAGACTAGTGCCTTGTCTCCTGGGTGAGGCTTGTCATTGGGATGGATTCACAGGGGAGCAGGAATGGCAAAATTTATAGGGCCACTGCTCCCAGGGGATGGCCGTCCCTTCAGGGGGTTCCACAGTAGCAGAAAATTCATTATATTTTGGGATCATTTGTTAGTGTCTCATTTATACCATCTGTATGAGAATAAACAGAAGCTGCAAGCAGAGCCTATCATTCCTGGAACAGAATGGGGTCTGGCTTCTATCTCCCAGAGATGGAAGGCTTAGGCAGGGAAATACACAGAAGCCTCTGGAGTGTTTTTCTTGGGGTCTACTGTGGGAATGAATAACTTGGAGGTGAAATCACAGCCTGATAATGAGCATCTAAGCTTCTAAAGATGGATTCTTACTGCATTTGCCAAATTTTGCTCTGCCGTGAATTTGCTGTCATTTGTTCATTCATTTATTCACTTATTTCTTACTTCAACGAGTATTATTGATGACCTTTTCTCCACCAGAAATGATGCTAAGCACTGGGGTCACCAGGGCAACAACCAGCCATGACTCCTGCTTACCACCTGGAATCACGGCCCTGCTGGCCATGTGGCCACATGGTTTCTTTCAGGCACAGTTGTGTCGCGAGGAGTAGGTCTTCCTGCTGGCCCCTTCCCTGTTCTCCCTAGAGGAGGTGGGGGGAGACATGCAGCTCATCCACAGGGCCCTGGAGCAGCCTCCCAGCATGGCAGGCTGCAGCTCTCTCTGCATTGCAGATTCCATTCCAGAGGGTGGAGAAAGGGCTCTCTTGCTGCCACTGGGCTCCAGTCCAGCTCAGAGTTGGGGGATCTGAAGACACTGAACACCCACATACCAGAGGTCCCAGGGGCTATTTCTATGTCTGGGCTCCCATACAGGGTACCATGGAGTTATTCAGGGAACTTCCTAAACCTGGATCTCCAGGGCAGGTGGAGGGTCATCTGTGCAAGACAATGACCCTCTACTATGGGCTGGTGTCTGAAAGCCCACCATGAGAAAGTCATTCCTTCTGCTGAAGGCATCATTACCTACTGGACCCCAGGAAGGGAAACAAAAAGGGCAGGGTGAGACAGCTTTGGCCTAAAACCCTGGGACCAGGAGTTGAGCCCTGGCTCTGATCCTCTTCAGCTGTGTGACCTTGGGAGGCCATTTAGCCTCTCTGAGCTTTAGTTTCCTCCTGTCAAAATGAGGATGTGGTTTAGATGAGCACAGGTCCTGCTTCAGCTCTAAGACTGTAACTCAATGTGATTGAGTCTCAGATCCTTTTCCGATGGCCCGGGGACACTGGGTGAAGGAGGGAGAGAAAGGATGTAAGCGGGAAGCGTGCTAAGAGGACTGGGTATGGGAGGTACAGTAGGCAGAGCACAGATGGAGGAGCACAGGAGCACAGATAGGCAGAGCACACCACATAAAAATGTTGGGGCAAGCCAGGAAGCTATGGGCAGATGGCTTTATGGCAGATGCAGCAGGTGTGTTGTGGATGAAATGGCAGGCTCACTTCCCATTCCCAGGCACCTTGCTTTAGACACCCTGCTGTAGACAAAGTGATGGCCAGTGGAAGCCTTTGTGCTTGACGGTGCAAATTACTCACATGTGTTTCCCCTTAGAGAAATAGAACTTATTGGGAAATAGACTCTGGACTTGGACAGGGAACCAAATTTCACCTTCAAAAGTGAAATGGAGATGGAGAATATGGCTTGCGCTTGTGGCCAAAACAGGTTCACGAATGCCCCTTTCTGGAATGATCTACACCTGGGAAGCTGAATAGGCGCAGGTGGTCATGGGTCACCCTCCAAGGCCACTCCTGCAGGAGACAGCCTAAGAACCATGTGGCCATCTGAGTACATTAACTGCCCAACAGAGAGGCATTGTCTGATGGACATCAGATCTTCCCTCTTCTGCCAAATACATCTCTCTCCATGGGAAGAGACAGGTAAAGATGGAAGGATAGGCCAAAGATTCTCCCTCAAGAGCTCTAAGCCAGTGAGGATTTTGATTTTATGACTCTGGGCAGAAAGGTGAGAAGAGGAAGAAATGATTTCCTTTACAGGACTAGAATCCAAGAGAAGTTTTGTACTAACATGCTACTTATTTATTATTATTATTTTTGAGATGGAGTTTTGCTCTTGTCACCCAGGCTGGAGTGCAATGGTGCAATCTCAGCTCACTGCAACCTCTGCCTCCTGTGTTCAAGCGATTCTCCTGCCTCAGCCTCTCATGTAGCTAGGATTACAGGCATGCACCACCACACGTGGCTAATTTTTGTATTTTTTAAGTAAAGACGGGGTTTCACCATGTTGGCCAGGCTGGTCTCGAACTCCTGACCTCAAGTCATCTGCCTACCTTGGCCTCCCAAAGTACTGGGATTATAGGCCTGAGCGACTGAGCCTAGCCTTAATTTGCTACTTATAAGGCTGCTTCAAAGCTAAGACTGTACACATCTGACCTCCATATTCCTAGTGTCTGCTGCCTCATAATATGTGGTCAGTAACTGGATGGATGGGTAGGGGGGAGGAGCCCTTTAAGGAACTGGCTTTATTGGCAGACCAGCTTTCTTCACCGCCATCTGTGTCTTGAAGTGACCATTTCTTTACCCATGAGCTTCCCTCAGTAAAGGGAGGAAGCATTCCCTTGGTGTTGACCTGCCTAATTTACATCCTTCTTCCATGTCTGAATGTCTTCCTGTGTATACCTTTTGGGTCTGGCAGAGCCAGAATATGTGTTTGCTCTGAGAATGAAGAGACCATGGAGGTGGCCGGGCATGGTGACTCACACCTGTAATCCCAGCATGTTGGGAGGCAGATCACTTAAGGTCAGGAGTTCGAAACCAGCCTGGCCAACATGGTGAAACCTCGTATCTACTAAAAATACAAAAATTATCTGGGCATGGTGGCAGGTGCCTATAATCCCAGCTATTCAAGAGGCTGAGGTAGGAGAACTGCTTGAACCTGGGAGGCGGAGTTTACAGTGAGCCGAGATTGTGCCACTGCACTCCAGCCTGGGAAAAAAAAAAGCAAAAGAGACCATGGAGGAATTTTCTGGTACTGGGTTCCACAGGGAAAGGACATGCTAATTAATGCCACCTGCTTTGCCTCAGTCTCTTTCTCATAGATATTTCACACACTCACCTTTAACTTTGATTGGTTTCATCTCCTATTCAGGGTGTCTTAACAAGTATGCAGAATAGGATGTGTGATTGAGGGGAGGCACTATGCGAGACCAAAAATAGCTTCCTCTGAAACAGGTGCAAAGGTGCTTGAGGTTCCGCTGTTATAATTCACTCTCTTCGGAGACTGTATGCTGCCGTTTACATCCCAGCTCCACCAGTTTTAACTGTGTACAACCTCGAGTGAGTTATCGTTCTAAGCTTGGCTACTTCCTCTGTGTAATGACCTCTGATCCAGCCTAATAGGACTGGCGGCAGGATTACCGTGGGGCTGGCACATAGCACATGCTGAATACATGTTGCTGACGACTGGGTCAAGCATTGCCTGCGAAATAAAGGCAGACACAAACAAAAAGAAGAAGAAAAAACAAATTAAAAAAAAACAACAACAAAGAAAAGGCAGACACTCCGGGCAGTGCCAAGGGTGACCTTGTTGTGAGTGAATTGAGCAACTTTTCCTCTATAACAGGAAGGACTTCATGGCAGGAAAAGCAGCTGGGTGGGAAAGGGATTCAGGGGAACATTGGTGAAAGAAGCGACAGTCATGGGAAGATGAGGGACATGAGTCCCCCTGGAGCCCCTAACCTGGCTGACTGGCCTGCTCTTTTCCTGCCCACTCCAGGTTGGCCTGCCACTCCTCCTGCTATGATGCCTGGGCAGATCCCGGACCCCTCGGTGACTGCAGGCTCCCTGCCAGGGCTTGGCCCCCTGACTGGACTCCCCAGCTCGGCCCTGACCGCGGAGGAGCTGAAATACGCTGACATCCGCAACCTCGGGGCCATGATCGCACCCTTGCACTTCCTGGAGGTGAAACTGGGCAAGAGGCCCCAGCCCGTGAAAAGTGAGGTGAGCGAGCCTCGTTATCCCTGGCAGATTCCAGTCTGGCCCTAAACCCACCATGGAACCTTAACCTTAATGGTCAAAGTGTGATCTGAGGACCGGTAGCATCCATACCATCCTGGGGCTTATCAGAAATGCGGAATCTCAGGCCTCACCCCAGGCCTTCTGAATCAGAATCTGCATCTCAACAAGATTCCCCAGGGATTCATGGACATATTAATGCTTGAGAAACACTGGGCCAGGGGAGGACGTTCAACCTGTCTCTGGTTCTCCAAGGGGCAGGGGAAGAGTGATAACAGTAATGAATAGCAATATCTCGGCCATCTCTCCGGGGTGGTGGGAGGATGGGGGAAAATGGGAATGTGGACATGTTTTAAAAAGTAGACAAGAGAATGCCAATATTAGGTTATCTTTTAAAATTGTTATCATTACTTACATCATGGCCTCCACCCCTCTCGGCCCTTTCTGCAGCTGAACCAGGGAAATTGGAAGAAGAGTAGTGTGGCCTCCCTTCCCAAGCAGTTGCCAGAGCTGAGCATGGCCTCAGTCACCCAGCAGCATCTGCCTTAGATGACATTTGCCAGGGACCCACATGTGGAGCACCCACACATGGCATTTGCAAGAGACCCCTCCTCAGGTCCCTTGCACCTGCAGCTCTCATGAGCCCTTTTCTAGGGGCACTGGTGAGCAGCGGAAGTCCCGGCATGGCGGAGGATCCATGCAGGGCATGCTCCATGGCCACTTGCCCAGGTCTGGCCGTTTGTCTGAAGGCCTGCTCCAGCAAGGTTCCAGCAGGGCCATTTCTTCAGAGGCCTGCTGGAGCAGCTGCCCCCTGGAAAGGAGAGGGAGCCAGTGGTGGCAGGTGGGGAAGAGGCTGGGACTGGGAGGGTGTGGGAAACAGCTGAGCATCTGGGAATGGCGGCTGTGCCTGGAGGGAGGATTCACAGGCAAAGGTGAGCCTGGGCGGACTGGGAGGGCTGAAGTGCTGGCAGTGCTGGAGAGGGGGCCTTCTGCCTGGAGGAGGTTGTCTGGGTACCCGCAGGCAAGCGCTGGGATAGTAGCAGCTATTTCTCAGCTCCCCTTCTCCTGACAGGTGCCTAAGAGCTGCAGAGGACTGTTGGGGACTTGGCCATAATGGCAGACTGGCTGTTTGCAGGCTGGACCTGGCTCTCCGATGTATTTTGTTTGGCTAGCTCTGTGTTTTTAAAAAAATGCAAACCCACATTTCACTTAAAATTTTTTATCAAAAAATAGGAAGATCTCGTCACCCACTGCCCTGTTCCGGCATGGCAATGGCTAAATGCGGTGGACAGAGGCATGTCACTGCTTCCTCTCTCCAGTGGGACACAGGCCTCTGCACCTCCCTGTTATTCTTGATCCTGCTTATATTGTTGGTTTTGCTTCTGCTGCTACCATCTGCCTTCATTTTCCCCTACTGCCTGCTCCCTGTAGCCATTTGTGCTCAAGACGCGTGAATGAGGTCCATCATAGGTGCCTACTAAAGACTGTGGATTAGAAGATGCGAGTTGACTGTGATTCTATTCTTGTGAATTGATCTTGTAAACCAAAGTGTTGTCGGAGCCCTTCCCGGCTTATTTAGTATTCTGTCTTCATGATGGAGGGTCCTTGCCTTTTGGCCCTCTGCTCCTCACCTTCCCAGGTCTGTAAGTTGAGAGCATCTCTTTCTGGGTCATTCCACAGTAAAATTGCCATTTAGAGCCAGTAGCTGAGCAGCTTCATGCGGGCACTAAGGCTATGTGTGGGTTGATGAGGATCCAGGTGTCTTGGGCAGAGGTGGCCAAGCTGGGATTCGCCTGGGGGGCTGAGTTACTGCCTCTCTCCTCTGCAAAAGGCACTGGAGGAACTCTTTCCTTTTTTTTTTCGGAAAAGCCACTTTTATTTGGGTTGGGTATTTTTACATCTTATAGCCACCCCCAAATTGGTGGCATCTGCCCTGTACCCGACAGTGATGCGCTGTCCTCACAGGCACCCACAGACGTGCACCATCCAGGCCGTGAAAATAACAAGCCATTTTTAGGGCATATTTGCATGTCCTCTTCCTCGCTGTCAGACTGCAGTGCTATGGGGGCGAAGAGGCAGATGGAGCTGTGAGATTGTACCGATGGAGAGGGATACCAGCCCTGCACTGCGAACCGACCTCCAAATGCTTCCTAGGTCAGATCCCAGGGGCGGGGAGAGCTAATTCTTGGAGTAACTAAAACCTAAAGCGGGGCGGGGAAAGAAACTTGCAACTGAAGAATCTATGGTCCAAAGATTTATTTGCATATGGCAAACCGCCTTGAGTGGATTTTCTTACTGGCATTTTGGACTAGCAAAAGTTTCTTGAATAATAATCAGATACTAGCTCATTAAACATTTAATATGTACCAGGCCCTGCGCAAAGAGTTTAACATGCATGACTTCATTCATTCCTTATTCAGTCCTGGAGTGCAGGTTATCCCCATATTAAAGAATAATTTGAGGTTTAGGGAAGGGATTCCGTCACTCAGGGTCACACTGCTGTGATGTGATAGCGCTGGGGCCTGGTGTGGTGGACGATACGGCCATTGCAGCCAGGTCTCACTTGTGCAGAGCTAAGTCCTAGGCACAGTACTAGGCTCTCTTTGTGAAGTACCTTGTTTACCCTGCACAAGCACCCTATGAGGTAATTAGTGTTGTCGTGGTCATACCCACATTACAGATGAGATCAACAAGACTGAGGGAGGTTTGAGGTCACTAGCTGGCAAATTAGCTCAGGCAGTCTGCCTTGAGCCCAAACTTTAACCACGTGCTGTGTGGCCTGCCATGCCTCTATACCCCTTCCCGGCTTCTAACCAGAGCTTGGTTGGGCTGGGCAGGCTGGATGAACCTGGCCCCAGAATATTCGATCATTTCGATGACATTGCCCAATGAGTGCTGAACCCTGCAGTTCTGCAGCCTCATTTTCTCCTAGCCGAGAGAGAGAGAGAGAGAGAGAGAGAGAGAGAGAGAGCGAGCGTGCATACCGGCTGAGCCGCTGTGTAGGCAGCTCTGTCAGAGCTCGCTCTTGGGCTGTTCACCTTGCAGGGGTCAGCAGTCACCTGGGTCGTGTCCAAATGCACAGAGCAATTCAGTAAAAGAAAATGGGAGGAATTAAGTTCAACGGCAGGTTTTGTGAATTATAAAGTGCTTTGTGCTGATGTCATTATTATTATATGGTCGACTCATGACGTTAAACTGTTTTGGTGCCAACTGCTTGCCTGCAGTCCGTTTGTTCAAGCCATGTTCCTTAAGCACTTTGCTATGTGCTGAGCACTGCACCAGGCACTGGGAACCCAGCTGCAGACCAAGCCTTACATCTCTCAGCACTGCATATTGCAGTGAGGGCATCACAATATATAAGGTCAGGTAGTTGTCAGAACCATGAAGAAAGATTAAGCAGACTAAGGGCATGGCATTGGCAAGACCGCTCATTCTGATGGTTGGCCAGGGACTCTGGGAATGTTATTTCCTGGGTTATGGGATTTTTAGAGATGTTGCTTCTTTCTCGCCCCTTTCTCCTTTCTTTTCTCATATTCCCTTTCAGGACAGCTTTGCTCCCTGGCTTTCTCCCGAGATTTCCTTCCTTGACTTTTCCTCTGTAGCCCCTCTCAGCTGGACTCCTCAACAAACCAGTCCCGATTGGCCTACAGATCTTGGCCCTTCCCAGGTCATCTCCCAGCGAGCCGTGGCTATGGTGGCCACACCCTGTCTCTGGGTCTGGAATGCATTTTCAGTTGGGAGTGGAGGGAGGCCTGAAGCCCCATCCTTGCGCACGCGCATACACACAAAACACTTACTGATCAACCTGCTAGACAGGACCCCTCACCTTCTGGCTACCTCTCAGTGCTCTAGAGGGGACTCAGGAGTTCAAGGAAGGCTAAACTGGATGACCTTTCAGGAAAGAGGCTGCAGACTGTCATTCTGGGGGCAGGAGTCGGCCTGCAGATGAATCTTGTTCACAGGGTGGTTTTCTTTTTCTTTCTTTTTTAACAAAATCACAGTGTGGTTTTCTTTTTCTTTTTTAAAAAATTGAATGAATTGCTATATTTAAAAGCCAGGAAGTGTGGACTCTCTGGCTTCTTTTAAAAAACCAGAATATCTAGCCACATCAGGCCACACCCTTATATGCAGCAAGAGGTCGGAGCTGAGGAGCAGATGCCTGCTGTCGTGTGTACAGTCTTGGGTTTACTGCAGTCCCCACTACTTGCTGATGTCCTGCCCGCATCCCACTTCACACTGTCTGTATTACCAGTCTGATTTTGAGTCTGTGACCCATGTTCAGGTCCCACAGACCTTGCTTGTTGGCTTGAACATTATTAGCTGTGTTAACTCAGCAAGTCGCTTAAACTTTCTTTTTTTTTTTTTTTTTCTTCACTATCCAGTTGTGCCTCTGAGTTATAACTCAGAATGTATCATTACACACTGGGCTTAAAAGACTCATCGTTTTTGTTTTAATATTGCACTTCTTGAACCCAGCTACCACAGCACATCACGAGCCTTTGACACAAGGCTAGGATATAGATAGCTCGGTTAGTATCAAGGGCTGGTGGCTTAAACTTTCTATCCCTTGATTGCTCTATCTCCCAATTCTCATCTCCAGCTAATCGTTTCATTAGGTTTTTCTATTTCTGAATTTGACTTCAGGCAGAAAAAAAAGAAAATACAACAAAAATCAAACCAACCATTCCCAAACTTGGCTGGTCATCAAAACACCCTGGGAAACTTCTTAACATAGATTTCCAGACCCCACTCCAGGCTGATGGAATCAGAATCTCCGAGGATAGAGTCTTGGGAATCAGTACAGCTAATAGGCCCAGAGATGACTCAGCTACTTTTGGAAACGTGACTAAACGGTTTCTTCCGATCCTTGTCAGGGAGCTTTCTGAGGGTGTCACCCTAAGGAATTGGTGCGTACGTATCGCTATGGACTGCTCTTTCCAACGTAGGGCAGTTCCCTGTGTGTATTCCACATGAGGGCTGGACCT